AAACTGCCTTTATCTTGACCCATGAGGGTCTTTTCCATCTTATTTTATTCCCTGATGCTCCCCCACCCCCCCTGCCCCACCCCACCTCAGTCCTGCTGAGGAGGGGAGTGATAGAGCAGCTTGGTGGGGACCTGGCATCCAGCCAAGGTTAACCCACCACAATACCTCTGGTTTTGGAAATATCCTGATCTGCTGTCAAAACTCCCCATCACCCCTTCACTCTCAAACCTGAATCCTAGTGCTGCCTGCACACAAAATGAAGGAAGGTCCTGAGCTGGACTTAGATTTTGTGGCAGTAGCTGCTGCACAAAAAGAAAAAAAGGAAAAGAAAAGAAGGTACAAAAATACCTAGTGTGTCAGTATAGTTTCTTTAAATGTGTATTTGACATAGAAACCCTGTAAGAAGTAAGAGACTTTCTTCAAAAAGGAGCTACACTTACCATGCCTTGGGAGGTATCTTGCTGCTAAGGTGACAGCCAAAAGGAAGATGACAATGATGATACTTGAAGCAGTAATGACATTGTAAGATGGAGGAACAGTAGGGACAACACAGTCATTTGTTTTTTCTGGGACAGAAGAAATAAAACATAAATTAAGTGTGCAACAACATATTGGCATTTTCATGTAAAAGCAGGTACATGAATTCTGGTGGTTCTGGCCAAATTCTAACTCTCACATTCAGCCTGATAATTTACCTACTCAATAAACAAACAGACAAAGATGGCACCTTATTTTCTTCCATTCCCCCACATTTGCTGTATGCTGAAATTTTTAACACATCCACAGAATCTGAAATGCTGGATCTTTGTCCAGAACAGGACTGAGACAGGCAATATTTAAAAACACATAAGCTGTTTCTAAAGGAACTGGTTAGGCTTGGTGGAAAAGTTTGAATCCATATCTAGAAAACTTCCATTCTCAAAGGTACTCTGCACTTTTTCTTACAGAAAGTAAGAAATTTATGCCTAATTTTTTCCCCTCTGAATTCACAGGTGATAGAGAATGATGCATTAAATAGACTAGAATAGAGTTTTTTCTTTATGGCAGGAAAAGAGCGTTGTGGCAGAGTTCAGTTTCAGTGGATCTGGAGCCTTTGGCTTTTCACAACTGGAGGTGACCATTCTGCCACTTGGACGTTAGAGTAGATAAAGGGCCATTCTTGTACCAGTACATGGCAACACTTATTCCACAGGAGGGACAAACTTGGTGAATGTTCATAGGTCTTCAGATTTTCATCATCTGCATCTGGCACAATTAAGCAACATTCAACTTCTAAGACACTAGCCTGATCCACTGTACCATCTTCCCCTCTACTGTAGAGTTTGCCTCCTACATCTATCAGAAGCTGTATTCTGTCTGGAACTCTGTGTTCATGAAAGACTTGTTTGGAGGATCATTTCCACCATACCAAAATGGGAGCAGTTCTACATCTTAAATATCAAAAAGCAGGGGTTTTGAGACTGCTGGTGTCACTGTTGATTGTACCCTACTCTGAGAATGTGTGACAACAGTGTATTACTATTATTTCTTTTTTGTTGCTCTCCTTTTCTGTGTAGTATGATATTCATAACCCTCTTCCATTACGATCTCTAGGGACATTATGCACTACATCCAGCAATAACCAATATTCATAAAGCACTAGTTTCTGGCATTCGTCCTGAAGCTGAATGGCACCTCGCCTCATGAGCCCCTTTGATTTTAGTAAGATTGATTAATAAGGTACCTTGATGAATAAGGTACAATCCCCTAGGAAAAATAGCGCTTCTCTAGATTCTCTTGAAGGTGCCCTTATCTCTACAGTGAAAACATCAGATTCAGAGACATTTCAGAATACTTTTTTGGTAACAACATTAAAAAAAAATCCTTTTGACTTTAAGAATTTTCTTGCAAATCCCCTTCTGCTGCAAAACATCTGGACCATAGTGTGCTGCCTTCCCTCATGCTGTTTCCACTTGTGCCTCAAGCTTTTCAAATCACAGACCTATCTATTATGCTATCACTTTTAAGCCACGCACAGTGATGGAATTTTTTCCATATGAGTTAACCCTATATTAAATATGTGTATGAAAGCAGAATTTTGTCTAGACCCCAGCTGACAGTTTCTGTCACTGAAGCAGGAACAAACATGCTTATTAAATGAGGAAATTCTGTTTAAGTGCAACGTGTGGCTTTTAAGGCACATAAATTTCTCAAGTCCCTCCATTCGAATACCAGGTCTGCATCACACAACTGGCAGCAAGACCATTCTTGCAGAGAGGGGCACTGAATGGTGGGAAGCCATTGGTGGGAGCCACTGAGGCTGCAATCACCAGATCACAACAGGATCCAGTTGCCTTCTCAGCCCAGCTGTGACTCATGGTAGAGCAGAAGACAGAATTGTTTCTACTTGTCAGTCACTGTCATAACTCTCCTCTCCCACCCCTGCTGTCTTACAGCCTTTGAAATATTTTGGTGTGCAGCTCACAGGTGGGATCACTGGGTCATCCTTGCATGAACAGATAGACAAAATCTACTGCTTTCTCAGAGAGGCAACTCAGCAGGTTCAACAACATGGGTTTGTAACACAAACTGTTAATAAAACCTACTCAGAAGCAAACTGGTGGACTTGGCAAAGCCATTGTATTCAACGGAGCAAGTGATGATGGCGTCTTTGGTCACGTTGAGCCACAGTTTGCCAGTGACGTTGTACGGGCTGAGGCTGGACTCAGACACCCAGCTGGCATTCCATACCACAGACACGTTGTTGAGGGCTCCAGAGATTTTGGGTTTGGGGAAACCTCCATGAGAAGAGCATCTTACCACCATCTCAGTTGATTCACATGAATTAGTGGATACTTCTGCTGTTACGTCCGGCTTACTGAAGTCAGCTGAAGCAAGAAAGATGTAGTTAGCATTCTGTCAGATTACAGCGGGGGCTGCAGTCCTGATCACCCACAGTCAAAGCAAAGAGTCCCCCCACAGAACATTCTTCCTTCTGTCATAATCTGTTTGGCTTTTCTTGTGCCTTAGCATTCTCCCCATAGCCTTGACTGGATATGGCCTTGGCCTTTGCTTCTTCTCCTCCCCAGGCACCTCTTCAATATTGCCATTTCTCTCTACATACAGCAGTTTGTCAAACAACAGAAGGAATCATAAAACAGGATTGAATAAAAATCCGTATTACAGGCAATGGTAGACAATTTCCTTTTCCCTCCCTCATTAGCTCTTTCCCAGCCAGAAGCTCACAAAGGGTCCATCTCTGCTGGGAAAAGGAGGTGAGTCACATGTTGATCTCTCAACTGGCATGGCCAGCAAGAGACTGAATTACACGAGAGCCCCTCCAGAAGGCCCAGCTGAGAGCAAGACCAAGTCATACTAGTAATTGCAAAAATTTGAGGACACAGGTCCTCCCAGACCATGTTCTCACTGGACTTTTTTTCTCATTGCCAAAGAGAGTTTTCAAAGGTTTCCCATGCACACAGCTTGTTCCATGCCTTCTCACCTGGTCAGATGTATTGCTGTAAGCGTTTGTGAGGCTGCATGGTGAAATGTATGAGAGGACTAATATAAATGAAGGAGAAGAAAGGTGGTGTCCTTTTCAGCCTGCTTCCCTTTGCCAATCTGGTTCACCATGTTGCTGCAAACAGTTGCATTGGTACAACTGAGGATGCCCACAGGTTGCAATAAACAGCCTGGGGGGAGGAGGAGGCAAGGGGTGGCAAAGGAACTATTTAAGGCGACTCTCCCACTGGAAAACTCTCAGTAGGACCACATCTTTAGCAAGAGAGGCACCAGTCAGGAAAAGAAACTCAGCCTGTGGCTTCCTGGTGGGTGTAAGTCATGCTAACACCACTGCTGCCAAAGGGACCAATTTCTCCCTCCCACTCCTGCCAGCTGTAGGTCCGTAGCCTGCCCACCCACTCCGGTGCTAGCCCCAGCCATGACAAGGACAGGCAGAGAGCTGCAGCATCTTGCTCAACTCCCTGCAAAATGACCCTTTTCAGAGCAGCTAAGGTTTTGTCTGCGATTGCTCCCTGCCTGACTCACCAATTGACCACATGACTGCTGGGATCTGCACAAGGCAGACAGCCTTGTGGTCGTAACGTGCCTTCCACAGCTTCTGCTGACCATGAACCCATGGTCTAGACTACCGAGTAAGTAGTGAAAGAAACTTGCTCAATACTGCGCAGCCGACCAGTGGCAGACAAGGAGAGACAAGGATTTCCTTCCAGGCCCGCTATCTGTTGAGCAGTACGGCATTGACATCCAGTCTGGAAAGTCCTTCAAATCTCCCAACTGGCTTCACTGAGGCTCCCTGATCAGTCACCGGGGAGTAACACCTTTACACCTCTCTCAGGTTAACCTGATTCTTAGCAGGAGTGAGGGGAGCTGTCCCTTTTTCCCCAATTATTACAACTGGCCTGTTAAGACAGCAGGGGGATTTCTGTAATGAAAGAAACTGGAGTATTTGCAGGGAGGAAAAGAGATCCGTTGTTTCATGTTTTTCATGCGGTTGATTCCTCGGCCATCAAGGTTAAAGAGGGTGCTGGCAATGCACTTCCCTTTTTACATATCAGTTCCCAGAAAGATCACTAAGTTTGCCTCCTTGCATATAGGCCCACCATGCCCTCAGACAGGCAGGCAATGTCCAGACCTCACAAGCCTTTTGTTTTGCTGACAAATCTCATTCCAGATAGGGAATGTTCATTCACTGGTTTGTCTGGAAGATTTCTGCAACTCTCTGCTGCTAAAGGTATTCAAATGTATGTATATATTTATATATGTTGCTGGTATCTCTGCCTTTGGTTGAAACCAACCGCCACAAGAACAGTGGTGCAAATGGAAAATAATGTCAACGGAACTTTTTGTAGCCTCCAATAAAAGATTCAGATTCGTTCTGAGCAAAGGAACTCAAGTTGTTTCCTTAAGGTAAAAAGCCTCAATTCTCCGAGTTTCGTCTTAGGTTGTGGAGCTGCAGCAGCCAGGGACCGGAGAGCCTGGGCTCACAAGGAGTTGGATGCAGGGCTGCGATGCTGCTGTGGCCACAGAGAAGCAATGCCACCCCATTCCTCCTTTGGCTTGGATGCTTCTTGTGCACCAAGGGCTCGGTCTCTGCTTTGCCCAAAGACAGCAGGGGGCAGAGGTGGCATAGGGCACACCCCAGCAGTGGTACCTGGGAATGTGTCCTGGGAAGGGCCCTTGCCCAAGAGGGAGGCATCAAGGACAGGATGGTGGGCTGGTGATGGGAAAGGTGAATTTTCTGGAAAGGTAAGGAGGAAGGCTGCAGGATTACAGGGGCCTTAACACACCTTCCAGCACTCTTTTAGGCTTACAGATGAAAGTCGATCTGCTACACTATGACTAAAGCTTGGAGGAGTATCTCTTACCCCAAGAGGTTGGCACCAGAAAGCCTCAGGTGTTGGAAGGTAATACACCTACCTGTAACAAAGACGGCAACAGGCTCATCACACACAACAACTGGGTTCTGCAAAAATCTGAGGTGCTGAACTACACACTGGTAAGAGCCATTGTCCAGGATTTTCACAGGGGAGATCCACAGAGTGAGGTTCCTGTCATCAAACCCTGTCCGGTTGTCGTAGAGATCGTTCTTGGAGATCTTCTTCCCTTCTGCGTAGGCAAGCACTACCTCCGTGGTGTTCTTCTGCCAGTAGACCCGATAGTTGTGTAGGCTTTCTGAGCTGGGTATTTCATGACAACAAGGCAGGCCAACTTTTTCCCCCACTTTGCTTTTGATTACTTTCTTCTCCAGTGCATAGCCTGTAGGTGGGGGGCAAACAAAAGTCAGTGAGACAGTGGTATAGCCTTATGCCAGGACCTGCTGCATAGAGCTCACCTCTTTCATCTCTGTCTGCGCCTGCTAATGTACCTCATCACCCACCAAGCTGTTTACAACTTCAGCTCTGCACTGAGGGGAGGTCTACCTTGGCATTGCCTTTTATGTGATGCTCCAGTCCTACTTAGGATCCTGAGCTAGTGGGCACACAGTGATTTCTGCCTGGATTACTGAAGGCAAAGACAGGAAAGTTACCTGCATGAACAGAAATTTTGCTGGCCCTTTAAAAAAAACCCACACCTTGGAGTAAAGAATTTCCATTATTCATGTAAAGGGACAAAAACATACCACACATGCCCAAACTGCTATTTCCTCTGGCCTCCCTTTTCAGAGCTCAGTATTTGTAAAATCTGCATCACCCTCTGGTGAGTTGCTTGCATGCCAAAAAGGGCCACAGTGGACTATTAGTTTGGGGGTTTTGTTTTGTTTTTTGTGTTTTTGTTTGTTTTGTTTGTTGAGTTTTGTTGTTGTTGTTGGGTTAAAAAACAAAACATAACAAAACAAAACAAAAACAAACAGCCAACCCAACACTTTCAAGATTCCAGAAGCTAGGAGCAACCCTACAATGATAAAAAATTATTACACCCACACTGTCATCAGCCTCCTGGTATTAGCAAATGAACAATCTTGCCTAGTCTAGCTGAAACAAATTTTCATTTGTGAATGCCCATGGGCCTCCCTTGGGATTACTTGCAAATCAACACAGGCATTCCTCAACTCCTGCCCAGCAACCGTGTCGCTGCCATACCAAGTATACAGGCATGTACCTACAATAACAAGCTGAGGCCCTTGCAAGGGGGAAATTAGGTACAACTTCAACCCAGTTAACAGCAAAGCCCCCTGCTTTGCACTACGACTTCCATACACATCACTCCTGTCATCAGCCCTGCTTTTCCCCTCTCCTTCCTCTTTCCGGTGGGTAGGTGCTCGCAGGGGCCAGGACCCTACATGCGAGGGAACAGTCTAACAAAGAGCTCCTGCTGTTGCTGGGTAAGTGACCCAGTACTGACACGTGGTCCTGTGCTGCACCAAGGCCAGGGCAAATGGTTGGGCTTTTGCCTGGGTTTGTGCAACCTTCAGGATGATGCTTATCCCTGCACACCCTGCTTTGTTGGTCCAGAAGGTTGGGTTGCTTTACATTTGTCCTGCTTGCCTCAGCTTCACTACCTTAGCACCCATCTGTGCTAGTGGAAGGGGGATACAGATCTGTTGCACTCCATTGACTGAGAGCAGAAAAACAAGGAAATATCTGGCCTTAGGACAGAGAAGATTCAAATTTCTTCTTCCTTCCCTGCAGAACAGATCTCAGTAAACATGTCTGAGAGAGAAGGCAGGGAAAGTCCTGGCCAGGCGGTGTGTCATTAATAGGGAGAGTGCAGCATCAGCTGGTGGTGGAGGTGCGATCCCATGTGCAATGCCTCAGCCTGAACGGTGAACTGAACACTTGACAAAGCTGGACCTAAGAACTGCCACGCACCCCCAGCAAAGTCTGGCTGATGCTGGCTCACACATTATTGTCACTGCTAACCGCAGCCTAGCTAACCATCTCTGGGCACAGAGCACAATGCTCAGGATGTGACTGGGGTGCTGTGACATTCAGATTCAGCTGAAGTGTCAAAACAGCCACACACTTGTTGCCCACCAGGGCTTGTTTGCTTAGCAGTGACTTACAGACCCTTCAGATGCCATCACACAGCTGGCAGCAAGACCTCTGCGGGCATGCTGGCCTGCGCCCAGCAACACACCCTCATGATGTGCTTCGCAATCCTCCAGCTACCAGTACTGGAAGGAGACAAGCAGATGCTCTGCCAGTGCGCTGGGACAGACAGATCTTAGAGCAGCATCAAGAGCCACTCCCTGAAGTTAAGTCCAGAGAGCCTGGGACAGATCATGAAATAAGCTTTTGCCCCCTCTCCTGCAGCACACATACCCCTGTCCCACTTGCACACTTCACATTAAATCAGTAGGAAACACCCTGAAAAGTACTGGTGACAACACTATAGAATGTTTTAATATTAACTAAATAAAATAAAATACGTAATTAAATTAACAACTTCTCATTTAACTGGTTTCCCTCCACTCAGCTACTTCATTGGTCTTCCAAAGGGAAAGATTCAAACATAGTTTCCCACCGCCCCTCCCCACTACCTGTACTTCCCCTTATAATGCATCGCAGACTTTGAGCAACCACCCTGGGGCAGACCAGGAGCCCACTCAGCCCACTGACATGTGTCCACCAGCAACTGGTAGCAAAATGGTAGAAAAAAACAGTTCTTATCCTGTATGGTGTGGAAGCACTGCCACACCCTGCCAACCTTTGGCAGCCAGGAATTTAGGGATTTCTTGACATCAGCAGTTTAATCTCTACTGCTGGACCTACCCTTCAGGAACAGTTCTTGCCCCTTCAGGAATGCACGTACATCTTTGGCTTCTACAATGTCCTGTGATACTGAGTTACATAGTTTGATTACATGCTGTGTCAAAAAGCATTTCCTCCTGTTCACCTTAAAAGCAGCCCACTTTAGGCTGTGATTCTTGAAGTTCCTCCTCCTGCTTGTCTGCATGCATGTGTCTCTGTGTGTGTGTTTTTTCCCCTCAACCACATCTTCACTTGTTCTCACAGTTCAGCTCTTACTGTTGCTGGACAGACTCATAAGAGCAGCCAGGCAAATTTTGGGATTGTGGAGCCTGATAAACGCAATTTTCTATTTTCTTTTGCAGGAATAGGGGAAGAGTAGGCGTACAGTAAATGTCAGGGTGACATCGCATCATGAGTTGCATGAGGTTCTTCGTGCTTTGCCTCTAAGAGTCTCCTTTGCAACCAAAAGGAGAACAAAAACCTCCTCAGCAATACATGTGCAGGGGCTGGAAACTCCTGCTGATGTCACGTCTACCCTTAAAAGGCTCTGCACCCTTGAAACTGCAACCTGAATGCTGAAAGCCTAAAGGAACCAAAGTCCATGAAGAGTCATTCAGCCCCACAAAAGTCCCCTTTCACTTTAAAGGTGAACTGCAAAGCAAAAATGAAAATTCAGTTCTGTCCCATTTCTGTGCTGAATGCTCTCCGTAACCCGGCTGTGGGGGAGGTATCCATCATGGAAATAATTTTTAATGACTTTTCTGAAAAAAAAAAGCCTCCTTTTCCCATTCCCCTGAAGTCCACCTGCACTTTTGCTGTGCACAAATGTCACTTCGTCACTGCAAGCCCCTGGCATGTGGCAAAGCTGAGCCGATGAAAGGTCTAACTTTCTGTTCTGTGTGCAGAAAAACATGTTTAATTCAAACTACACCTGTGCTGCAGATGCCCCATATGGCAGGGCTTATTAGAACAGAAAGGTGAGTGTAGAGGAAAACCATCCTTTCTTGTTTGCTCTGAGAGTCAGCAAGTAGAAGAGCTGTTGAGCCTGTGTCTCTATTTCCTTCTCTCCTTGCCCAAGCCGTGTTTCAGAAATTCCTCAGCCACAGAGAGCTTGGTTATCCTGACCACACATACAGTCAGGCCATACAGGAGAGCAGATTGCCTTTGGGACAGAAGTCCTGCAGAGACATTTGACTGTAAAAGGCAGTAAAAGACCACACAACACTCTACAGAAGCGGCATTGAACTATTGGAAACCTTCAGATAATTCCTGGTGAAAAACACCCCAAAGCCATTTTCTTTCCCCTCTGTTCCCCATTTCTCTGCCCTTGTGAACTGCTTTGCCTTTTTTTGATCTTACCTTGTGTTACCTTGCTTTGCACACAACCCGAAAAGCTATGCACACGAAGGGAAAGATGCTTTTTGGTGGGTCTGGACTCCTTTTCCCCTATGTAAGCAGCAGGTAAGACAGTGGATCTGCACAGTTATTCAAACCAACAGTCTTGCAAGAAGCTCTGAGGAAAATTGTTGGTGGCCCTCCAAAACCAGGAGGGTCAAAACAGCCTTACATTGCTTTTTTTTTCCATAAGGTTCCCTATTTATATTTGCAACAGCAGCTGGTCTTTCTAGTCTTAAGTTATCAGCATGACTGACTTTGCCTAGGACCCTGCACCTGGGACTCCCGCTCTGCCAAGGCACTGACACCTTTCTTGCCCTCTCCCTGTGTGTGGGCTGGGCTGGAAAAAGGGACTTAAGGCAGTTCTGTAAGGAGGTGCACACCATGTCATGGCAAGGCAAGGGCATTTCTGGTAACTGAGGATGGGCCAGCTGAGGAAAACACAGCTCGTGGAGCTGCAGCTTTCTCCTGGGGGCCATTCCCTGGTGTCAGTGTGGGAATCACACCAAACAGTCCCTGGGTAATTCTGCAGCTCAAGCCCCTCATCTTCTGTGAATAGCACATTTGCCCCGAACCTGCAGGATTTATCCTTTGAGGACAATATTGTATTTTGCAGGGATTTCCAAGCTAGACAGATAAACAGCTGAAAAACGGAGAAATTTCAAAAAGCTGAGTCTTTAAAGGGCCAGTCTCCATTGGTCTTTTCTTTATCCCATGTGATTTTACCAGTGAGGAATCAGATTGTCCCAAAGCTTTCCATGGAGTTAAGATTCAGCAAATGTCCTGTGCTACACTGGAATACATGAAGAAACGCTTTGTGTTTAAGCTATATCAGTATTGTAACACCATGAATACTTTGATCACAGAAAAGACCCTATTGGATGCCCAGGTAACTTCTATGTGGAGACATTGTGGCATTTCAGCAGTGCATAAAATCATTGCCTTCCCTCGCGGCTTGCTGTAAAGACCCCATGAAATGAGAAAGATGGGATGAAACAGAGAAAAGCAGGTGCTGGCAGGCCCTGCTGGCTGTCCTCTTTGAGGAGTCCATGACTGCATATTAACCTGGGCACGACCACCTAGCTCCTTCTACCCAGATTCCAGTTGAGCAAGCGGAGGCGTGCAAGCTGAGGTCTTGGCACACAGAGGAAGGAAGAGCAGCCCTTTCCC